TTTAGCTGGCTTTTGCCTTAAATTGCAAAATCACACCGAGTCTGGAACTTGGCTGCTCAGCACTTCACAGAGGACCTCCCTGGGCCTCTCAATGTGCCTTTTTGTAAAGAAGGCACTAACACTTCCCAGCAGTCAACAAGCTGTGCTGCCTGTCAGGAGTAGATTCAGGAGGCTCTTCTGGTCAGCTGTAGAGATGAGGAACAGAAAAGCTCTGTCTCTACACAAATCTGCAATTCCAGCTCTCCATGGAAGCAACCTAACAAAAACTTTCAAAGAGCCATTTTCTCTTTTCAAAGTTTCTTAAAATTAACACTTTCATCTATTTATTACCAATTTAATTACATTCTTATACAAGACTTTTATACACAGGTTTGGAGAGGCTGAATAAATTCTTGATCACATTTCACTAAAACAGAATGAGAGTCTGTTTGGAAGAGTCTGTTTAAAAGGACTTTGAAGTTCTCCCTGCCCATTTGCAGTTTTCCTGCAGCTCTCACAGGGGCTAATGGGGGAAGACACAAAAGAAACACCCTGTAGGTGCCTTCATTTCAGGGCCTTCTCTGCATTATAGAGACACCTCATCAGGGGAATTTTCTTAAAATATCTTTTTCTTGAGAAATTTCTCAGTGGCTGCAGGTGCATGGATAGTTTGTGAACAGTGAGTGCCTTAGTGTTCAGTGTTGCAATAAAATCCTGGGATACTGGTGAAGTTATTGTCTCTTCATTACTCTGACTTCAACATGCCTCCTGCTACAGAAATAGCCTGGACACTTTCCTCTATTGGAAGTCACACTGTAACTTAGTTTGAGCTGTTAAAAAGGAAGATGTACATAAACCATGTTAACTACTTTCTCCAGACACTACCTAGCTGTGTTTCTTCACAAACAGGTGGCAAGTTCCCCTGTCGATCGGCAGTGCTCAACCTTCACCATCTTCATGGCCAACTTAAAATCCATCAGGGATAAACACCAGGCCTGTTTTTCCTCTGCTCAGGAGCTTGGGGATCTCATTATTTTCAGAATATTCATTAAACTCTCTACTTCCTCTAAAAATAGTGGTTTGGGGTTTTTTTTTGGTTAGTTGTTTGTGATTTTTGGCTGCCAAGTGACTCGTGGGCAGCTGCTTCATGCATTTATCCATTGCACAATACAAGATCTGATAACTCCATGTACTCAGATACTGTGTCTTCAAGGGACAGTTACCATAAACAGAGTCCACCTTACAGTATTTGACATTGTCAAAGCACCTGTTAACATTCACTAAAAGGAATTAACTAATTCATCTTCAGGGCAACCCCGTGCGCTAGGTAACACTGATATAATTAACACATGAGTAAAATGAGATTTAGGAGTTAAGTCAGTTGCCTGGGCAGAGGCCTTCATGGTCTAGTAGATTAGACATCTGCCTCTCCAACCAAAGAAGTTGAGTCTAATCCTTTTTCTGACATTGATTTGCTGCCTGACCTTAGGGAAAGTCAATTAACTTCTCTGTCTCAGCTGCCCTAGAGATAATGATGCTTACCCACCTGGTGACACATGGGCATTTGGAAACTGTACTAAAGGATTCTCTTAATATATTCTTAGGGCCTAATAGTGAAAGAGGTGAAACATTAAAGCTAGGAAGTTTTAATGTCCTTGCTATCTCACCCAATTCCTCCTCTCCATACCAGAAATAGCTTGGGGTTAAAGAGGAATTTCTGAGGCTAAGGTGCTCCTATCAAAACTGTGTCTGGCATCAGGAATTGTTACCAGATCCTATTTGACCAGCAAAGTTATTTAGAGTACAGGTCAGCACTAGAATTGCAATGGAAATTTATTTTAAACTTGGCCATGGAATAAAAGAGCATCCTTCCCATGCTCCCATGAGGTAATGAACAGGCTGCCACAGCCACCCACACTGAGCACCCTGGATTCAAAGGGAGCAGAGACCCCTGAGCCTGTGCTCATCACCAGCTCCAGTTCCCTCGAAATGACACTTCTGCAGGGTAATTTCTACAGGTTGCCTGACTCCTAGCAGGGTGGCAAGCCTGAAGGAAAAGCACCTCCTAGAACAGACCTACCTGATCTTGCCATCTCTGAGTTGTGCTGCCTTGTACTTAAGAGAAGGACAACTAGAACCTGCTCTGTTCAGGTCTTTAGAAGCCATCCTTGCACTTCTGTCCTTTTCATGACATGCCATAGGGTACTAAAAAACACTCCCTCTGTAGCTGACATTTGAACTGCCCAACAGGTATCCAGGCTGGTGGCGTGTACAGATAATTTTATATCCCTTTTCCAGATTCAACCTGGCTTTTAATTACTTCTGCAAAATATTCTGTTGCTATATATAATGTTGCCTAGGCTCATGAAATCTCCCAGAATTCTAATGTAACAAGAAACCAGTCAAATGGGACATAAGAATTCAACATTTACCTTTATTTCTGTCAGCAAGATTAATATTCCTTCTCTTTAATAATGAAAGAAACATCAGGCATTTTTCCCCTTTTGCTTGCTGAATTATAGCAAGCGTGGTGAATGCTCATGCAGCCAGAAAAATAATAACCTGCTCCTGCCTCTGCTGTGACACTGATGACTTCTCAGCATCCTTTCTGCTGCTGATCCACCCATGCCCTGGCTGTTTGGTTTTGCCACCCTCAGACCAGTTAGTCTCTTCTCCATCCTCCCAGCTCCACTGGTAATGTGTTTAACATTTACTTTGATGCTATTGCTTGAGGCTTTTCAAAATCCTTGTTGGAAAGCAGACCATTAAAAAGAGACCCTCGAGGGAAAGGCAGGCAGGAAAGTTAAAGCAGAAAGGGCATGTGGCTGTCTATCCTATAGCCCTGTAGGCTTTGCCTTGCTGCAAGTCCAGAGATGACTCAATGCAAACCCACACTGCTGGAAATGAGGAATAAGTATTGTGCTCTCCTAAAATACACCTGGGCTAATTCAATAAACCCTGACTTATTGGCTGCTACTTGTGCAAACATCTGCATATCAAATCCCAATAAATTCCTAGTGAGCTGTCAGATCAGTAATACAGATATTCCCAAGGCTGCAAGACTCTCTCTAGTTTGTCCCTGTATATTTATTTACTGCAGGGGCTGCTGGTGTGACTAGCACAGGCCAAACAGCTCCACATCCACACACTGTGAAAGAACTCAGAGGTGACTTATAATAGCTTATAAATGTACTCTAGGATTGTATTCTGAGCATGGCAAGAAGTGTAAACTAAACCTGTATTCATCTCTCACATGCCTAAAATAAGAGTTTTCAGTGCTGGTTCTGACACGGATTACAATTACCTGTGTGCTAATAGGTGATTAATATGTAATTTGGCACAAGCAGAACATGTAATTGCATTCAGACAGATTACTGGGTACTCCTCCTAAGCGTTTGGAGCTTATCTTGTAATGTTATCTCCTGCACTTGCAGGATTGGTTGGAGTGTTTCTTTCTTTGTGTCTTACTGGATGGAGAGTTAAAATCTGCACCTTGCTGCACCTAATCTACCAATACATTGAAACATCCATTTAACTTTAAGGCTGAGCTTCAGATCTCTGCTGCATCAGGCTCTTTGTTTAAATATGTATCCTTTACCTTTTTATTTCATATTTTGCAAGATTTCATAAAACTATGCAGCATCTCAGTTCTGTAGTCTACCCTAGAGACTAGAAGGTGTGACTTCAATTTTATCTATTGATAAAGGATATGTAATACCAGGAAGGACAACTTATTTTTCTTTCCAGTAACTTTTAACATACAGTTTCCTGTGATATGTTTTCCCATTTTTATGTTTGGAAAGAAATGGATGGATTTTTTTTTTTTTTTAATTTGAATTAAAAGGTGTACAGAACTTCAGATTTATATTGGCTTCACTGTAAGTTAATGCTGCTGAAGTCAATGAACACACTTGAACCTGCAGTGACCTTGTAAAATACTGATGGCTATTCAGATGAAACAGGGTCTGTGTGGATTGGAAGAGGAAGAAAATCAGTTCATCTTGAGTTTGGTAATTTCCTAATAGTTACTGCAAACAGTGCTTTTACTTCTTAGTATGATCACTAGAAGACAATGTATAGTCAGTATTAAATCAGGGCAGATACAGACGATAAAGGCAAAGCTTAATCTTGCTAGGATTAGTGACTCTAAATTGATACGACTGAAAAACACTGCAAAATGCTGAAGTTAGGCAGCTTCAGGGGCTTGCAAAATGCCTTGCCCAGTAATTATCAAAAGTCTTCAGAGAAACTGATTGCACCTGGAACCTCTGATTTGATTACCAAAATAAATAAAAAAAGTCTACTGTAGTAGCCTCATATGTACTTTAATTAAGAGCTTTGTTTTTAAATATAACCATCTGATTCCCTGAGGTTATTTTTAAAGTAAGCTCCTGGCAAGGCAGCAGTGTGGTGGATTAGAGGCTTGGAATTGAGGAAAAATCATCGTTCAGCACACAGTTTAGAATAATGTGTGCATCTATACAAATACGTGTATGCAGCATCATGTAACAGGATACAGGACTGGATTTATTAAAGCCAAATGGAAAGATATTTCCTCTTTTAATATTCTAGATCTCTTTTAATATATGTGATGCAGATACTGCACTGTGGTCTGATTCATGTAAATACCACAATAATTGCACATCAATCTGATCAGTCCAGTGAAAGCTCTGGTTTTCTACAAATGTTAAACCAAGTTATCAACTTAGCTGTCTGCATCTACAGCTCCATCTAACAGTGGCTGTTACACTTGATGTGGATATAAAAGACATATCACCATTAGCTCACCGTTTATCATGGGGAGTGCAAGCAGGAGTTGAAAAGCAGCAGGCACAGATAAAGCAGAGCCATGGAAAAAGAGCAGCAGGGTAACAGCCAGGGAGGCAGACTGGGGGTGTAATGAGCAGTGTTAAAAGGGAAGGGCTGGGGGAGAAGGTGAATGATCTGTACAAGACATGGCTGAACAGGAAAAGCCAGAAAACAACATATTTTTCTAGCTCTTGTTTCAGAAAAGAACTTACAGCTCCCAAATTTTAATGGGCAAGCATGTGCATCCATGGGGAAATCTTCAAGCTGCATGGGACATTCAGCAGAGATGGTCAGCCTGTGGGGAGTAAAAAGAAAATGTTATTTTTCTGTCTGTGCCTTCCCTTTAGGCCCCTCACCATAATATTGAGTGCTGACACATGCAAAGCTTTTCACAGAGGCTCC